CCAAAGCATATTGGTGCGTTTTGGCTGTTTGGTTGTTGGACCGAGTCAGGCCCCCCCCCTCTAATTGTGTATGTATATATTTTAGTTCTCGCTCCACCCTATGTGCTGGCTTTCACAGAAAGCGCCATCGAATTTCGGTTACTCATAAACGGGAGTCTCGTCCACACAATGACCGTTCCAAATTGCCTCCTCATATCCGCGAAGGTAAACGCTTATTTGCTTCTGTATTCGGAAAACATCAACCGTATTCATACTTCCCGAAGAGCTGGCTTTCGCTTGGCCCTCGGGGTTTATGCTTTGACCAAGGCTTGGTCCATGTCAGAGTATTATACTACTATTCGAATGGCTTTTGCCACGTTCCATTGATCGCCTTGATCTCCTTTTGGCTTCACCAGTGTTTGTGACATTCCGCATGTCAGTGTCATATTAGAGCTTTTATATACTACTAACTGTTCGTTAGTAATCCGACTTAGCCAAAGCAGTGTCCTTATTTCCGCCTATTCATCTGTCGATCCCTCAAGTTCTGTGAACCCTGACCTCATCCGAATACAGAACCAAAAAGAATATCAGCGTTATTTCGACTGTTTGTTGAAATAGTATTTGACCTCGGGTGCGTCTATTCATGCGAAAATCATGAAAGGCTATACAATATTAACAGTGAAAAGAAAGATCTTCGGAAAATCGGGTTGTACTCGTAAATTTTCGAACAGATATTTCTTGTTCGTCGTCAAACTAACTAAAAATTAAGGGTTGGGAATGTCACATTAGAGATTTTGGGGGCAGAGGTTACATCGAACGGGGATGGGGTGGGGGGGGGAGGGTAAGGCGACGTGAATCCTGCGGCGATGGGTTCTGAAGGTGTGGGGGGGACGTGTTAACTTTTGGATTGTGGGTCACGTGTTCGAGAATCACATCAAGGAACGTAAGTTAGCCGTTCGCCAACGAGACCTTCTATCATTCGTATTTGCGCACTCCCTTGCGTGTGATCACCGCTTCATTTGGGATGGCACGAGGTAATCGCAATGACTAACACGAGACAAGCAAGAGAATTCCTCGAAGCTTGGCACTCTAACCCGGCCAGTATTAACAGGCATGCGGACCTGGATTTACACTATGCCACTTTGCGCACATGGTCCACTAACCTGCGCCTAGCCTGAAACAACAGCAGGCTATCCATGCTCGGTCAAGTAGAACTTCA